TAAGCAGCCATATAATATTTAGTTTAATCCACCCAGTTTACATATTTATGTTATTTCAGCCAGAGCAGATACTGATTTTGCTCCCAATGAACATTATACGACAAACAAAAGTCACTCATGATTACCACAGCCTTAGACATTGACCACAGGAATAGCAGCAGCAGCTAAGGCTGGGGTCATGGGAAGTCTGGAGATGTTAAGGGGAGGAAAAAAGCAAATCCTGGGATGTATGCTGGGGCTAGCTTCAGAAACATATAATAACAACAGGAAGAAGACATGCTGGAGAAGGAGATAAGTTGCCACAGGGTGAGGGATGCCTGTTTTGAGTTGTTCCAAAATGAATCTTTGTTTGCTTGCTTGTTTTTTTGAGACAGGGATTCTTTGTCTTTCCTTGGCTGTCCTGATACTCACTCTGTAGACTAGGCTAGCCTCAAACTCTGAGATCTTCTTGGCTCTGCCTCCCAAGTGCTGGGATTAAAGGCATGCACCACCATGCATGCTGCAGAAATGAATTCTTTAAAAAAAAAAAAGATGGGGGCTGGAGAGATGGCTCAGCGGTTAAGAGCACTGACTGCTCTTCCAGAGGACCCGGGTTCGATTCCCAGCACCCACATGGCAGCTCACAACTGTCTGAAAATGCAGTTCCATGAGATCTGACACCTTCACACCAACAAACATAATAAAGTTAAATAAAAAAAAAAAAAATGCCAGTTTGGAAGGCTGTGTCCTGACACCATAAATATAAAAACTATTCCAGTCACACAGAAATTGATTTATTATATTTTGAGTCAGCATACAAAGTAACAGGTTTCTTATGGAATGTTTATAATACTTTATTCTGGTTCCTCCTCTGCCCACTGCCCTCCCTTGTTCCCCTTGCCCCCTCCAGTGGATCCTTTTCTGCCCTCATGTCCCATGTATTTCATTATACTCTTTTTCTTCCCATTCTTTCTCCCTCTCTTAAGATCCCTTCTTCCTTTCTCATGATCCCTTTCCTGGTCCCCCTTTCTTTCTCACCCGAACACACACACACATGCACACTTAAATGTAGGTCTTGCACGTGAGAGCAAACTCATGGCATCTGCCTTGCTGAGCCTGGCTTATTTTACTTATCACAGTGATCTCAAGTCTCACTGATTTTCCTGCAAATGTTATGATTTCATTTTTCTTACAAGAGAATAAAATTCCCTTGTGTATATGTGCCACTCTTTCTTCATCCATTCTGCCACCATGGAAGTACATACGGAGGTTTCTCAAAAAAACAACAACAGAGCTACCACATAACTTTCTGGGTGTATACTCGAAAGTCTTACCACAGACGTACGTGTACATCTGTGTTTATTGCTGTATTGTTTGCAATCGCTGAGAAATGGAAATAGCCTTGATATCAATCAATAGCAATAATTTTTATTTTAAATAAAAATAACATTTTTATTTAAAAATATTTTCGTTGGGTACTGAAAATTGGTAAAAAGGCCTCCTGGTGTGAAGGTGGGCGGGAAATGTCTTCTTTGACAAGTAGGACAATAAGAATAAATGTGTCAGATGGTAGAGTGGGAACTTTGGGGTTGGGAGCAGTGAGACCCCAGATCCTGAATTTCTTGTAATCCCCTGATCTGAGTGCCTACAGCTGCTCTGAGCTCGAGACCTTCAGGAGTTCCTGATGGCAGGAGAGTGGTTTCTGGTGGGTTTGGCTGGGGCGTGGCTATCTCTATATAATCTGCCCCTGAACACAATAAAGGGGGCATTCTTGAGGAATTCAAGGATGACTCGTGTCTCTGTCTCTCTGTCTGTGTGTGTTTGAGTATTTTAACCTCAAGCCCCCTTGCCAGAAGCTCGGTAACTGGGTTCAAGCGTACCATGCGCAGACACGGGGGCGCGGGGCGCGGTACTTTGGGAGTCCAGTGAGAAGTTCAGGGGGCTTGGGAGATGTGTGAGAAGAGACTTGGGAGTGCAGCTACCGGGTGTGTGTGGGGAGTGCTGCTTCGCGGCCGCAAAGCACCTGATGCGCTCAAGCTGAGAGCCTGGAGATTCATCTGGCAGGTGAGTCAACCTGTCCTTCAAAGTGACACAGAGTACAGTAGAGCACGTGTGACCGGAGGCATAACACTTATTTCAAGTGTTTTATTTTGATTTGCTGGGGTTTTTTGCTTTCATTTTTGAGACAGAGTCTCTCTACAAAGCCCCAGCTGGCCTTGCAGCTCTATTAACCAGGCTGGTTTCCCACTCGCTGCAATTCTCCTGCCTTCTGGTGCTGAGATTGCAGGTATGAGACACTAGGCAGGACCTTGTAGTTTTCTGGTTTCCTGCTCCAAATAGATCTGCATTTCATATGATAATGCTTTTTTTAATTTTTTTTTTATCTCTAAGACAGGAAGACAGTCAGGAAAGACATCTCCACTTCATTCTGCATTTTGGTCAGCCACAATACCATCACATGCCTTCTAGCTGGAGAAACAGGTTGGACAAATAATCCCAAGAGAACGATCAGGAGAAGTGTCCCCATCCATCTGCCCATGGAAGAGACTTCAGAGGTCAAAGGGTATAGGAGATATGAGTATAGACAGTACTTTGCCTCTTGAGTCCCTTTGCCCCCTCCGTTCCCCCCTGGCTTTGATGGACCAATCCACTCTGAAAGACTCTCTTTTCTTCTTGTGTTCCCTCCAGGACCATGTATCCAGCTGAGGAATGGCTTGCGACTGCCCAAGCGAATCACCCACTTGTATGTCCCTGATCATAGGGGCAGAACTGAAGAGTGATCTAGTCAGAATAAATCTCAGAATTTATGCTAAGAATAAAGAGGAGGGGGATGGGGGAAGATACTGTTCTCCTCCGGTAGACGCTGCAGAGATGGCGCCCCAGAAGCAGTCACTGCCTTCTCATTACTTAGACCTTGAAACAGGAGCGAGAAAACAGAAGGAAATTTGAGCCTTGGCTCAGTTCGGATCCTTCCATCCCAGGAGCAGATACGTACTTGCCCGAACCGGTTTCCTTTGTGTCCTTTGTCGCGCACAACCCACAGAACCCAGCAAAAGTGGAGGAGAAACGGCTCCATTTCTAAAGGCTGAGTTCGCTGGAGACGGCTCCTGGGCCAGGTTCCAAGAAAAACAATCAGATTGGAAGAACCCTGTATTTTTCCGGCTTCACTCTTTCTTGTCTAAAAGTAATGCAAGTCTTCATTGACAGAAATAGCCCATGTAGAAAGAAAAGGACTGCGCATTTAAAACTGAAGCCTAGTGCTACTCCTTTAAACGCGCGCGCGCACACACACACACACACACACACGAGGGGGTTCCATTCTTGGACTGTCTCCTTCACAATAAAACAGCGATTTGCTACAAAGCTCAATGAAAGCAATGTCATATGTGATGCCGTATTATTCCCTTGAGCCGACACCTCCTTCTGAAGCAATGGCTCAGAAGAGATCCGCGTTTATGCATCAAAACCACATGTCACTCTGAACATAGAAAATAAAACTGTACATTTAGTTTCCAGTTGGTGAAACTGTCCTGACACGGGCTGACTGTGGGCTGGATGATTGAGGAGTTGGTCTGGCTCCAGCTGCAGCCAGCTCACCGCCTCTGTTTGCTCGCTGTGCCCTCCCAGTCACTCAGTCCCAGGTGCTGCTGGTCACTGCGATGGTTTGGTGCCTGCCTGGAAACCCATTGGCCCGACAAACCATTATCAGGTGTTTTACCCAGTCAGTCCGACATCAGAAATGTGTTTTTCAGTGACACACTAGATTTCATTTGATCCACTGTAGGACAAACCAACCCCCACCCCACCCCCAAAAGTTAAATAATGTTCTCTTCTTCTCGTGGTGGGTGTTCCAAATACAGGGCACAGTGTGGCCAGCAGTTATAAACCTACAAGGAAACAGACCTCGTTTTTAGAGTTCTGTGGGATAGCTTGATGAGAGTCCCTTCAATAAACGCTCCCAGACCAGACATTGCCTGGAGAACATTAACAGACGCATGATTGGGATGATAAATTTGATACATTTGATAGCCGCACAGCAGAGAGAACTGAAAAGACATTGCTGCCGTAGGAACCCAGCTAAGCCCCAGAGAGAGTCAGGAACTCACACAGATGTGTGAGGCCCGTGGGGAAGTTACCTGAGTACCTGGGTGCCTGCTCTGTGCTAGGTGTCTTGTCCATCTTTGCTGCTTAATAAATGTGTGCAGGAATGAATGAATGGTTGGGTTTATGTTTCCATTCATCGTTATGATCCCATGCCCTCCTCCCATAAGAACCCTTAATTTGCACAAACGCCAGGGTCTCTTGCACAGATAAGTCCCCTCTCTCACATTGCTTGCTCCTGTCCCACTCCACTCTTGTTTGCCAAGCCCACTACCTGACTTGAAGTGTGCTCTCCCGCTGAGGGTTGGAATCATGACTGAAAGATCCCCAGCACCCTTAATACATTTAGGGAATGGACAGCACAAGCTAAAACTTATTGAGAATTCATATCTCTATTTTGCATCTGAGAAAAACAAAGCCCCCAAGCTAAGCGACTCGTGCAATTAATAAGTGGCATTGTGGGAGATACTAGAGAAAGCACACGGTTACCACCAAAGCATTTCTTTGGAGATTTGCTCCAAGAGTTACTTTTTAAGGCTCAAAGTCATTTTAGTGATTTTTCTGGTTACATAATGTCAACACTTCTCAAGGTATCTTGACTAGAACTAGTCAGAATAATCACCCACATCCCTGAGCATGTACATTCCTGTGTATTAAGGGCTCCCTGTAGGCGAGTCTCTGTTGGTGGCTCCGTGTTGCAGAGTTGTGCACAGGAAGGCCCCATAGAAAAGCAAAACATCTGTCATAAAATGAAAAACAAAAGCCCAAAACTTCATTCTCTCCAAATGAGAACACAAAAATAGTGATAATAGCTGTCTTATCTAGGGTTTCTATTGCTATGAAGAGATGCTATGACCACAGCAATTCTTATAAAGGAAAACATTTAATTGGGCTGGCTTACAGTTTTTTTTTTTTTAGCATTTAAAACTTCGATTTAATAAGAGACTTTCACTTTGTATGAGGAATCCAGAATTTACAGAAACTCTGATTTGCAACCTTGAATTTTAAGTACAGATTTTTACTGATCTAAGAGCACAAACACTGACATTTCAAGATCAAGGTATCTGCCACCATTTGGTGTGGAATTGCGGCCTGTATCTCATTGTGCCCACAGCACTTGGAATGAAGAGTCAAGGGGTGCGGCAGGGTGAGCAAGGGCTGAGGTAAGCTTGCACAGCAGAGGCAGTGGCGGAAGAGGACAGCAGCAGGACAGGAGGGCTAATGAGAGGCAGACGGGAGACAGAGTCCCCGTCTCTCTGCAGACCACCCTGCCTCCATTGGAAAGCCTGCTCCTCAGTTCTGATGGAAAACTGACAGTGACAGGGTTAGAGATGCAGACTGGGAGGCAGAAGGGAAACAGCAGAGCCAGGGAATCCCCTTTTCTAGACCGTCTTTCCCAACAAAGCCTCTCTTCACTATGCTGGGTCCCTGTACCTGAGGAAAAAGCCTACTCGGAGCAAAATCGTTGAAAAGCAAGAGGAACGCAAAGAAGAGCTGCATTCGACCATTCGCAACGACAGATTTATAGGCAGAAATGTAGCACTAATTTCTGTTCAGTTGTTCTTTGCAGCAGACCTTACACTTTCCACATAGGACAAGTACTCGGCAATAATGACTTCTTCGTCCTCCAGAGTTGAGTCCAGGTAGTCCTCCTCGTGCTCTGGAATGTCCTCCAGGATCTCGTTGACAGCCTCTGTCTCCATGTCTTCATCTGTTGAGGCACTAGAGGTCCCTGCAGAGTCAGACGGGGATGTGGACGCTGTGGAGGAGGAGTCCTCTCCTGAGAACTGCAGGTCTGGAGGAAGGCTTCCTCCATGGTGCGCAAGGGTCTGAGCTGCTACCTGGACATTGCCTCCAAATACCCTTAGCGCTGCTTCAGCCACCATTGTGTCGAAACCCATGTACACCAGTTGGTCGATGCTTTCCTGGGAAGGACTTGCTTGACGGCTGCTGTTTTCAGAGTCTGAGTCCTGTAACCACCACATGTGGGGATTACTGAGGAGAATCTTCAGGGCGTCGTCCAGGTTGCCTCTGGCCTGGTGAAGGGCCTGTTTGGCAGCATGTGTGGAGTAGCCCATTCCTTTCAAGGACTTGATATTTTCCAGGCGGCGTCTCCTCTTCTCCTTCTCCTCCTTCCTTATTTGGGCCAGTTCCTCTCTGCGGTTGGAAATATGAATGGCTGCATGGTCCACGTTCCCATCACAAGCCCGCAGGCCGAGCCGGGCTTCCTGGGCAGTGAACCCCAACTGCAGCAAGTTGTTAACTTTTGATGGATCAATGTACAGCTCTTTAAAGAGCTGGCGCGCCTTGTTGAGATATTCCCGAGCCTCCTCTCCATTTCCACTGTGATAGTTCCGAATCCCCTGAAGCAGGTAGAGTCTTAAAAACAACACTTTCTCTTTCCCACAATTTCCTTTTATGTGGACCAGTCTCTGGTGATTCTCTCCATAACAGTTTTTAAAGCACTTCTGGGCCAAGTTCAGCTTCTTCTCTGCATCATCCAGGCACTCCAGTTGTTCCAGGCGGAAGTAGCACCACACAATATCCAGCTGGAGAACCGCGTAGTTGTCCACAGTGTCCAGCAGCTCTTTGCACTCACAGAAATACCTGTCAGCATCCAGAAGGCACGGCAAGGCTATTCCATACTCTTTCCTCTTCAGGAAAGCTCTGCCCTTCTCATGGTATCCCATAGCTAACATAAGGGCTTTTCTTTCGGCAGGAGGAATTCTGATTGACCTGCCTGTCTGGTTTGCGATGTCTAAGTAAGGCATGGTTTCCGGATCTACCATCTCAGCTCTCTCTGCCAGAATCTCCAGTCCCCTTTTGGTCCTCTGAATGCATTTCTCCTTCAGTTCTGCTTCATTCTGTTCCTCTTCCTCTACCTGCAAGTTTTTCCTCACATCCTCTTCAGACTGTTTCAGTTCTAGCACCATGGCCTTTACATTGGGAGTCACTCCTTGTTCTTCAAGGCTTTTCCCTAGTTGAAGTTGTTTCTTATTTATTACAATCTTGATGTAATTTTCTTGAAATCCAAAAGTTTCAGCTATTTTAGATCTCAGGTCTCTACCAGTGACATGCAAGTGGGTCTCCAACAAGCTTTTCTTGTCTTTCCTGAGTCTTGGAGGCAGAAACACCTCAATCGTGGCAATCCCGGTTGTTCGGTAGTGTTCATTTCCTGTGCCACGCTCAATGGCTTTGCAACGGATCTCTTCTATTATGTTTTCCACTTCATTTTCACAGCACTCTAGTCGGTCAGAGTACTTCTTAGCAAGGTCCTTCAAGGCCAAACCAACTTCTTTATTTTCATCAGTATATGGTGGTTTCCAAAGTTGAATTCTGTCTTCCCTTAGAAACTGGGTCAATTTTGCTTGAAGATATTTCTTCTGCGCCATCCTGCGCCACCGCCGCGCCAGCAGCGACCTGCTGAGTCGCTGGCTTACAGTTTTAAAGGTTTACTCCGTTATCATCATGGCGGAAAGCATGGCAGCATGCAGGTAGATATGGTGCAGGAGAAGGAGAGGGAAGAGAATACCGCACTGAACATGGTTGGAGCATCTGAGACTTCAAAGTCAGCCACCAGTGACAGACTTCCTTCAACAAGGCCACACCTCCTCCAACAAGGCCACAACTCCTCCAACAAGGCCACACCTACTCCAACAAGGCCACACCTACTCCAACAAGGCCACACCTACTCCAACAAGGCCACACCTACTCCAACAAGGCCACACCTACTCCAACAAGGCCACACCTCCTACTAGTGCTACTCCATATGAGCCTATGGGGACATTTTCTTTCAAACGACTGCACTTGTTCGCTTTTCCTAAATACTACCTCACTTTTATTAAATGCTTCAAGTGTCAGAATTATGCTCTATATGCCACTCATTCTCATTTAAGCCTGAAGTAAAGCTATGTGACAGACATAATTAATAATCCTACTGTGGGGTTATAGAGGGAGAATAATTGTTATCATTTATAAAGGCAACGCAGGTGACCTGAGGCTGATCCCACAAGGGGTAGCAGCCCCACAAGGGGCAGCGATGGGCCACCCAAGGCTCAGTGGGTCCCCTCGGCGGGTGGGAGACCAGGGAGGGTGAGAGTCAGATGCGCCATGCAGAGAGAGTTTGGGTATAGAGTTTATTTAGTGGGTTATGGAAGGGAAGGGGGAAGGGGGTGAAAGGGAGAAGGGGAGAGAAGAGAGAGAGGCGAGAGAGAGAGAGAGAGAGGGCAGAGGCAGTAGTTACTTCTTCAGACAAGGGACAGAAAGAGGGAGCACCTTAGGTACCAAGCATGCGCACACACACACGTACATACATTCAGATGAAGCAATAATATACACACAAAAAGAGACAAAATAATTTATAAAAAAATGTAAAAACAGTCCTAAAAAATCTTTAGCTTTAAAACACTTGAAATTTGGCCAACTGCACATACACTGGATGAGATTTTAATGTTATTCGGCTTAAATTGTTTTTCTTCCATGTTTTTTCAGAGAATTGATTTTCTTCCATGTTTTTTCAGAGATTGGAGGCATGATCACATAACTAAACCTTGAGATTTGTGGCAGTGAGACTGACTTAAAATGAAGATGTCTCTTTTTAGTGAAGTAACCACTTCTTGTGTGGACTTCCCTCTCATTTCCCCACTCATGAGTCCTCCAGCAAAGCACATGAGATTTGGTGCATGTGTGTGCAGTTGCCTGGTTTCTGTCAGGTGTCGGTGCATGGGTGTGCATTTGCATGGTTTCCGCTGGGTGTCAGTGCATGTGTGTGCAGTTACATTGTTTCTGTCTGGTGTTGGTGTGTGTGTGTGTGTGTGTGTGTGTGTGTGTGTGCTTGCATGGTTTCCATCAGGTGTTGGTGCATGTGTGTGCGGTCGCGCGGTTTCCATTGGGTGTTGGTGTGAGTGTGTGGTCGCATGGCTTCTACTGGGTGTTGGTGCGTGTGTGTGCAGTCGCATGGTGATGCTTCTTCATCACTGGGATTTCTACCATTTCATTTGTTTTGTGTTTGTTTTAGTGCTGTTGCCAACACTTAAAGTGACTCATAAGAGAAGCAAAAAAACCCAAACCATGGAACATCATGGTAAATGTGCTAAGTTTAGCTTCTGTGTGGCCTCTTAAGTCATTACTTGACTGTGGGGCAAGGAGGCTATCATCAAGGTCACCCAGTTAAATGTCCCAAGTCGTACTCTTCCTCTTTTTTGCCAACTATACCAAAACCACTTTCAAAATGACCATGTCTAGGTCCTCCCAAATTAAGATGGTCTTGTCCGTCAGATGAACAAGGCCGCTCCCTTTAAGTTGCGAGTCCACATTTCCATCCATAGAAGGTGTCCTATTTTCATTTCTAAAGTTTCAACAAACCATATGCTTTGAAACTGTGCAAAAGCTAAAGGAGATTTCAACAGAGATTTCAACAGGTCTTTAAGCCCGGGGCAGGGAAGGCTGAGGCAGCACGATTATGAATTCAAGACCAGAGTGAGACCCTGACTTGAAAAATAAAACAGAACAACAAAAATAAACTGGCCAAAAAAAAAAAACAAAAAAAAAACAAAGAATATACAAGGGGGAAGTAGAAAACACTGAAAACTTCTTGTTAATAAAGGTTAATAAAAATATAATGTGACCTGGGCTTTTTGATGTTTACAATATTTATTAATTTGGTGAAGTTATTCTTAAATATTCATTTTCTGTCCTAATTGTATTATTTTGTGTCCAGTTTCTATTTGTTGGCTTTTGTTTGCTTTTGAGACATAGTCTTATTATATAGGTAGACTGACTGCAGACTTGGATCCCCCTTTCTGGGCTGGGCATATAAGCATGCAACACCACCACATCTGATGTTTTGCTTTGAAAAGAGGAATTGCATGATGTGCACACTGGCCTCCACAGCATGGAGTCTGACCCTAGTAAGTAGGGCCACCATGCTGTCTTAACTGTGCGTTTGACCCAGAATTTATGTTGTAAGCAGCCACACAGAACCAGAACCAGTGTTGACTCCTAGGAGTTTCTTGCTATGCTAGAACTGGATTAGAATGTTCTGGATAACAAGGAGTTAGTTCTCTTCTCAGCTCCGACCCACTGCCAGTCTCTGGCTAAATTAAAAGTAAGACTGTCCCGTTTGGACTGATCTACTTTTAGTTCCTATCATGTAGCTGCTTGAATGTCATAAATTAGTCGTGGAGTGGACCTGACATAGCAGCGTTGAGAGAGTGTGTCCCACACAGCGCCTGTCTGGTGTTGTACTAGTAGAACCACGCCTTCACAACACCTTCTCTAAATCTCGGTCTTTATTCATGTGCCATAGCCAAACCAAGATCTATTTGTGGTAGCCAGGATTAACTTCAAGTTTTCTGAAAGCTCAGGATAAAGTGAAAATTGCAGAGTGATACTGTGAATCCCATCTATAAAACAAGAACCATTTTTACACACAAGCACATGCAAGCAATGCACCCCCACATGCATGCACACACACACACACACAGTACACACACGTGCAAGAAATGCACCCCCACATGCATGCGCACACATGCACACTCACACACACATGCATGCAAGCTCACCCCTCACAGACTCGCACACGGGCGCGCACGTGTGCACACACTCACACACAGACACACACACATGCACACACATGCGCACACACACATAAATAAAAAATGAATAGTAAAATGAACATGTGCATGAACGAGTCACAGAATGCCCTACTCTTTCCTAAGTTTAATCACGTAGTTGCCTACTATGCACTTGAAAGGAGAAAAATAACTCTAAGAAGTGAAACACAGCATGCTGATGTAAGAATAAAGAATTACCCTGGATGAATGAAAGGAAGAAAAGCCATAAGAGGAAAAGAGACATGAGTTTAAAAAGGACAGGATCATTTTCCACGGGTGCTAATAGTTTCACAAGGTATAATTGATCCCAATGATTTGCATAGGAGAAGAATTCAAAATTAACTCCAGGAATGTGTTAGAGTCTCATTTTCTTCAGTAATTTTTCTGAAATTAAAATAAAATGCTACAGGGTTTAAATTTTCCTTTAGAATGTTTATTATATTTATTTATTTTGTGTGTGTGTGTGTGTGCGAGTGTGACTTCAGGTGTCCAGTGACCAGAAGAGGGTGGAGAATCCCCTGGAGCTGGAGATATAAGAGGATGTGAGATGCCTGATGTGGGTGCTGGGAACTGAACCCCAGTCCTCTGCAAGAGCAACAAGTGCCTTAACCGTCAAACCATCCCTCCAGCTCCTGGCACTAACATTTTCTGTTATCAAAAATTATATGGCTATGCTATAATAATGTATTTGAAAGACAAGAAATAACCATAGTAAAATAGCATTCTTTAAAAACATTTTATTGCATTTGTGTGTTGAGGGGGTGGTAGTGGTCAGAGGACAGCTTGTGGGAGCAGTTCTCTCCTTTCATCATGAGAATTCTAGAAATTCAGTTCTGGCTGTCAGGCTTGGCGGGCAAGCATCTTTACCCACTGGGTTGTCTCACACCGCAAATAGCGTTCTTTTTACATCTAACTAGCCATGTCCTCTGCGAGCATTTCCTAGTACTCCTTGCTCTGATGATCTTAAAATTCTCTGCCCTTCCTGCCCACACAAGTCCAGAGGTTAAGCAGTAAAATACCTCAGTTCATAGAAAAGGAAGGATTCATTGAATAATAAGGTGAGATATTTGTCGTGTATAATTTAAAATGTACGTGTGTACAATACACACAAGGTGAACCGCATGAGGCTGTACGTTATCAGCCGGGATGGAGGAAACATCCTTGGACTTTTACTTTAGGGAGGGCCCTTGGGAGCTCTATTTCCAAAAGCCGCTCTAGAATTTGCCACTAGATGGTGCTAAGCAGTAGGGAGGCCCCGGAGGCAGCCTTCTATTCCTCTCCCCCATACCGGACCTGCATCTCTGGGTTCCTTGGTCTGTGTGCTTGATGTTCTGAGAAGGATTGTTCAGGAATGTCAAATGATAACAAAAGCCCGTTTAAACATTAGACAAACACGAGCCTAGGTGCGTAAACATCGTTAGTGGCCTTCTCCTTTGTCCCTTAGGAAAAGAGTGAGGCCCGGGAGCCTAAAATGTAAAGCCACGGCGAGTTTACAGTCATCAATTCAATAATAAGGAACCCTTAGAAAAAAGCGGATTCGAGGTGAAGAGAGTATGGGAAGGTTGCGGGAGGGGTAAGAGCGGTTTTGAAGCGGAGAGATGCGAGTTACTTTTCTCAGCGTGGTGCACACCCAAGGCCTAGGGTTAGAGGCTTTTGTATTTGAACTTGTGTGTTTATCGAGGCGAGAAATGGAGTTGTTTGGGCAAAACTGTGATACTTGGCAAACTCGTGGCTTGCCCCTCCTCACAACAGGGGGCACCTGTGGCACAAGACAAGTCCTTGCCTTTTCTTCTCTGATGAACACAG